CAGGGTAGGAGGCTGTAGGCAGGCACAATACAGATCTTTGTCCAGATTTCCAGCTAAAGTATTTCAAGGAAAAGCCATTTCTGGGGAAGGCTTAAATCAAGCCCCTGAGGAGTGTGTGCCCAGCAGCCAGACCAGGGCCTCGGTCCCCCGCTGGGACTCAGCAGCAGCTGAGGGGTTTCAGCTGCAGCAGCTCCAGGTGGGATGTGCAACCAAGACCATACGCTACCTCCTCTCCCGGGACAATCTAGTCCTGCATGCCACATGTCCTGGCACCTCCTTCAGTCCTCTACCCATCCTCACTTCTCCACAATACATGATACCGCATTTTGTATAAAACCAATATTACATATATTCTGGGGAAGCAGCAGAAGCTGCTGAGAGGACTTCTGTTTTTTGTAATAGAGAAATCCAAGCGCTGACTTCTCTGCAACTGGCCCATGTAACGAAGAGTCCTCCTCCATCACATCCCCAGAGGGACGCTGTTGGCTATTTCTGGTCCCTTTTCTAAAACAGAAAATAAGCAGGTGTACAATGTGAGGGGTCACAGAATCACAGAATGGTTTGGGTTGGAAGGGACCTTAAAGACCATCCAGTTCCACCCCCCTGCCCTGGGCAGGGACACCTCCCACCAGCCCAGGTTGCTCCAAGCCCCGTCCAACCTGGCCTTGAACACCTCCAGGGATGGGGCAGCCACAGCTTCTCAGGGCAACCTGCGCCAGGGGATCACCGCCCTCAGAGTGAAAAATTTCTTCCCAATATCTAATCTAAATCTCCCCTCTTCCAGTTTGAAGCCATTCCCCCTTGTCCTATCACTACACGGCCTTGTAAAAAGTCCCTCCCCAGCTATCCAGTAGGCCCCCTTCAGATACTGGAAGGGGCTCTGAGGTCGCCCCTTTTTCGCCTTCTCTTCTCCAGGCTGAACCCCCCCACCTCTCCCAGCCTGAGCAGAGCACAGCAGAGGGGCACAATCCCCCCTCGCCCCGCTGGCCACATGCTGGGGATGCAGCCCGGGATGCCGGGGGCTCGCTGGGCTGCCAGCGCACATTGCCGGCTCCTGGGGAGCTTCTCACCCACTGACACCCCCACGTCCTTCTCCTCAGGGCTGCTCTCCAGCCATTCCCCCCAGCCTGGAGCTGTGCTGGGGGTTGTCCTGACCTATGTGCAGGACCTTCCACTTGCCCTTGTTGAACCTCATGAAGTTGGCTCGGGCCCACCTCTCCTGCCCGTCCAGGCCCCTCTGGACTGCATCCCTTCCCTCCAGCGTGTCGGGGTGTCTCCCCCTCCTCGCACGGCGATGGTGGCCCTGCACAGGACACTGACTCACACTTCCCACCACTGTGCGGTGCCCTCCCGGTCCCGTCCTGGCCTGTCCCCGGCCTCCTCCCCAGCCCCGGCGGGACTTTCCCAGGCTGTTTCTGCAGCGATGGCGGCAGACAAGCTCGCCTTCCCTCACGCTTTAGCCGCCTGCGCCGCTTCCCTCAGCACGGCCGTGGCAGATTCCCTCCTGCCTGGGGAGGACGGGTTGGGAGGCTTGTCCAGGGCAGTGACAGCGACTTTATGATGCCTTTGAGGAGCTTTTTTTGCCCGTGGAGAATTTGCCACAAACCCCCAAGCTACAGACAGTGTGAGGTAAACACCTCGCAGCGCTGCTGCTGTGGCCTGTGCCTAGCATGGCCGCCGGCCCCTCAGTCCCGGCCCCCTCACCCCCCGCCCCG